CAATTCGTTATTTATGATATTTACTTACACCAATAATTGTTGCTCATAGTTAGAAAAAGAAATAAAAAAGAACTAATTGAATTTCGACAGAAAGCTACGAACTGCTATAGTTTGGATAAAAAATATGAAAGTAATTAGGTAAATGTTTCTTCAATGTTTTTTTTTTCTGGGTAAAGACACACGACAGAGAACGACAAATCGTGCTACAGCGAGTTAAGTGAATCTATAATATGAAGCAAAAACAATCACATGCCTTCTGTAACCCGATTCTAACATATACTCATATTAGATGTTACACAGACAATGAGCTATCAGAACGGAAAGAACTGTTATTAAACTTATACATGATTATCAACTTAAGTTGTTTTAACGTAATGTTTTCGAGGAGCACTATACATATAAAATGTTTCTCTGCCAGTTTAACAGAAGCGAAGAGGAAAGAGCTGTTAAACAAAACGGACTCGGTAAGTATTATGGATAAACCAACTAGATTTTTTTATGATCATTTAGGATTAAGACGGGGTAAGTATGATAGCTGTTTTGAATCGTTTTCCACCATTAATGTTAGTTCCATGTATAATCTATGTCGCAGTACTCATGGCGTCGGTTTGATCCTAAACCAAGCGATCAGATTCCTTCCTGCCATTATTTTACTTATGTTCCACGAGCTCTTACAAAAATTAAGGTGGCAGTGATTCTATGAACTTATAAATAAAAGCGAAGAGTAATATGTGAACCATATTTTTTCTGTCATATCCAGTGCCAAAGACGCCTTTCACGCCATATTAGGACTCATCATGGCGACTGAGTAACAACGAATATATTAATGATCGAAGCCCTTTTTATAGCATTGATTTCATGAACAACAGCTGTTATGGTGTAAAACAAGATTAATTAAGTGAATCTTAATTATTTTATAATTTATATAAGTCATTTACAAATCAGAATTAGAGTAATAATTAATAACACATTGTTATTTATTTACTTTTAACACCGATTATTTAGTATTATTAATATTTTATTTAAATTCATTTTCATACTATCCAGAAGAACTGGCGAACCAGCAAGCTTGTCTTCTTATTTCTTTTAATAAAGCAGTTTAGAGTCTCTTTCAAGTGTAACGAATCTGTTATTATATATTTATTTTAATATCGACGTTGTTTAGATTAAGTTTATATTTAGAAACATGCATAGCTTGTAGTGTTAGATATGTATTGCGAAACTCCCGCCTATTCTCTAAAGTTGTAGAAGATTCTCGAGAATAAGAATCAGCAATATGTGTGTGTACGTAAACACTTAAATTTTTATTGTTACGTAAAACTGAAATTTCTAGAACACCTCCACACGGCTATAAATATAAACAACGCGACGCGCTAAGAGAGAATATCTATTCTTAGTTCGCTATGATCAGTGTGCTATAAAACTTCGGAAGCTATAGCTGTGATTGTTATAACGCTCACCAATCGGAAAACTTCAGATATTTGACCAGGAACCTTTACAAAGTTCGAGCATTACAAACTATTTAAATTCAGTGGATTCACATCGGACATTAATACTTTTACGAAAACATCACCTGACGTCAACGGTGGAAAACTCAGCGTGTGTGGCAAAGGACAAAACTAGCTTCCCGTTAAGCGAATCGTACCTACATCAACTCGTAATTAACTCGCTCATCGTGAACCCT